TCCCTGCCCCCCATTCCTTTAGTCATACAATGTTCAGGTGCCACGTCACTAGAAGACGTGGCAACCAAATGACGAATGACAACCAATTCGCTGTTCGTCGTCCGGACTGACACGACACAACAACGGTGCAACACCAACACAGGACAGCGACGACTCAACAACAATACAGAACTACCATGCGACTACGACACGGGACACGGATGTGCCACGTCATCCCAGATGGCGACAACACATGCCGTCATCACCGTCCACAGTAGACAGGTGAGCACATCACATTGTAAGCCCCACCAGCTCCTCTTGTTCCCCTTTCTAATAGCCACAACCCACCTAGCGGCCATCATAACCACCGCCATGTCACCACCTCGCCCTCTGCTACATTGAGCAATGTGACCTGACGACGATGATGACAACACACGACAATGGCTACATGATGATGGAGATGGATGGACAACGACGATACAGGTGGCAGCAATAACGGACGACCACAACCACAGTGCACAACACGACGAAAATGACCATGACGATGGACGATGCAAAGACAATGATGACGGACAACAACATCAACAACGCTTGAGTGCTCCCTCCCAAACCTGAATGAGGATACCCTGGTGTCCCTTCATTCATGTGTAATGTTATCCATTATTTTCACCTTTCATACTTTCTTGGATATTGGCTTTAAGCCTCTTTATTAGTGTGGCTGTTATTGTAGACCCCCTTGTATTAGATAGTCGAAATGCCATTTATACCCCTAATTTAATTTGGAAACAAGAAAATTAGTGGCCATCTACAAAGAAATCAGTAGATTCAGTACACACAAGTAGCTCTGGTAGCAAGGTGTACCAGTGCCTACCTAAGTGGAAGGACGGTGTACCGAGGGCTATCAGGTGCAAGGGAAGAACTACCCGGGCTACTGAGATGTCACAGTAAACTACCGGAGCGACTCATGGGGGGGACTAGACTACCAGGGTATTATAAATACTAGAGCTACATTGACCTACTGACTCAAGAGATTTTCTCCTGATGCACTTGCGTGCTAATTTTCACGCATGTCACGCAACTTGCACGCTTGCCACGCAAGTACTACGCAGATGATGGTGCACGCGTGTACTATCCTGGCAATATTCTGTGCCAATGTAACGAAAAATAGACTGTTGTGTGTAGATTAAAGCACCTACTAATAGCTACTATATCACTATACTACAATAAGGACAGTCAGAAGATGACTTTCCAACGGAGGTCTGAATTCATCCGTTTTCCACACCACTCAAGGGTGATTAAACTCTGCCAAAAGTGAGCGCGACGCCTGAAAGTACACTGCACAATGAGTAAATCTGGCGTACATAGAATAAAGATGGAATATAACAAGTTTTTGTTATTTAATTAAAGTGGGCACAGTATCAATTCTGATGATGTAATGTTTCCCACCTTCAGGGAACAAAATCCGGTCCATTTGGGCTCTATATTCACGCAAATGACCTCCACACTGATAGCCCCTTTCTCTGAAAACAATTTAAATGTGTAGAACTAAAGAAAGGCTTCCTACCCATCCCAATTTTTTTGAGAAATAATGGCAGGAACATCCTCTAATAAGTCTAACAAAACGACAAAGTGAAGACAGGATTAGACAAGATTGGCTTTCAGGTCAGTAAGCTTCGTAAGAATTTATACAAGGTTGCGTAGCAAGAGAAGTGATTTCATACCATGATATTATATCGTCGGATGGAACTGTTCAATAAAATGTTATTAATGACGGATGGAGAAAAAAAAGGTGATGTTCTTCACCAGGGTTTTTACAGCGGTTTACCCTTTGAAATGTTACTAAAGATATAGAAACAAAAAGGGGATGTTCCTCACTAAGCGTTTGTACAGCATCTCCAGCACTTTGCCCAGATTTCATGCCATGAGTACCATCCATCGCCACATCTTTCAGGTCCCGGAGTGCAGTAGCCAGTACAATATCCGTGATCAACGCCGCCTGGGCCCGGGGCAGAGTAGACGAGTGGGGCGAGGCAGAGGAGTATGGCGGTCAAGGTGAACTTCATGATAATATGGTTCTAGACGGTGGGTGAATCACTTGAGTTTGGAGAAATGTTCTTTTATTTTGAAAGACGTTCGACGTGTTCGTACGGAGGCTTTATGAAAGCCATATCACGATGTGTCCCCGATTTGTCACTGAAGTAATACGTGTCACGTCTCATTATCATTGCAAATTCACTGGTTCTGGAATAATATTCCAACAACGGCACATTAAAGCTATATTTTTGGAAGGGCCTCGTTAAGAGCTTTGTTGTAGTATAAATTTGGATTTTATAAGCTGTAAAATTATGCCGAAGTCACTTAGCTGCGCAAACCTCATTGGTCACCATATATTAATATACCTCACACAAACCATAATCTCACTCGGAAATCTCGTCCTTACCATCGAGAAAACCAATTTTAATGCCATATGCGTTTATAAAGACAGTGGGAGATTCAGGCTCTGAATGTGTTTGAAGAGACATAAATTGAAGGTTTTGACAACTTACTGACCGAGTGTACGACACGCGTTAGTGACAATCAAGATCAACAAGTGTCGCTCTGTCTGAGGTTTCGAGATGGGCGACGGCGGTTTCTTCCTGTTGTTTGGGACTTGGAGCCAGTAAAGACAGGAGGGCTGGATTCGGAAAAGGGCGCCGCGCCGCGTCGGGAACAGGTTCGTTCATCTCGGATCCTGCACAAAGCCAACCAATTAACTCGTGGTCGCGACGGAGCGCTCATGTCGTGCCAAACACAAGAAACTCCGGTGGTGCACAGATGTCCCGTTCTGCTTCCAGCATTTGATACGATGGGCAGGACTTCGGATCCTCGATCGTAGTCATCCCGTCGGCGATCGTAAGTTGTGACGCTTTTTGGCGGTCCAACATTCGACACGGCACATGGAGTATCCGACACATTACCAACATCATATCGTGCAGCCTAAAAAATCAATAGGTGTCTAGTAAATGTAGTTTTACTATCCGTCGTATTTCACCTATGTATACCTCCTACCGAGGGCTCAAATTGAACCTTGTCTTCGACGGCTTGGAATTGTTCCGCTGGACGTCTCTTGTTCCCTGCGAGAGAATTGACAGTGACGTGCTACCATCGCCATTATTGAGCTGGAAGGAAGGTCAAGTGAAAGCTATCCGGGGCCCAGGTTCTGAAGCCCCGACGAATCGAGGACCTTTGCTTCGAAAATCGGAGTTGGCGAGCCCCCCAATTGCCTATCGTCAGAGACTTCTGTTTTATTGTGTTTTGTTTCTGCTATGAAGGGCATGACTGCTTCATGTCGGATTTTGAATGCGTTAACGAGCGCGGTGATTTCTTGAACTATAGTTAGTTCTTCCCATCAGAAATTCTCCCGATACTCCATGGATTTATAGCGATCCTTGAACAATTTCTTCAGATCAGCTTCAGTGTTGGAAGGTCACTCACATGGAAATTATAGAAGACAGAAGTCCACTTCAATCCCCAATCTCACCGAGTTGAAAGCGCGGAAAATCACGGGGCAGCTTAGCGGCATATGTTCTGGACGCCAATCCATCTTCCTATGACGGCACATCTTCCACTTGTAGCTGGTACCTCTCTAGCACCGAGTTTCGTCTTACGAGAAAAGTTCTCACCTTTATAATTGAACGCGCCCAACGCCAAACAGTCGGCGTTGGGCAGGTATGATGTCGCATTTCTATCCCCGAGGATGCGAGTGATTCCCTCCCATCTTGACACAGTCACTCGAACACCACGGATGATCCGTAACGTGGTGACTAGAGCCCACTCGACGGAGGACCTGAAGGGAATTAGTAGAAGCATCCACTCCAGATTGATATCATCATAAAGACTCGGAAGGACCTTTTTTTCCCCCCCTTTCCGTTGATGTTCTTTGGAACGCTTACGGTGCAAGTTTGATTATTCCGTCGGTGCACGCTATGACACCTTCCGGGGATGATCATATTATACATAAATTTTTTTGAGGCTTCCAGGACCTTGACCTTCGTACGCCGCGGGATTGGCCCATACAAGTGACTTGGAAGTTGGAAGTGTTCTGGATGCGGAAAAACGAGGATGGTGGTGGGTTCAGGGTTTGGACCAAAAATGTCACGCATGTCACGTCGCACACTGTACACGTGATTTGCTCTCTCCCTGCTCACCCTTCCCACCAGCGCCATCCCCCCACAAACCTCTTACACATTCTACCCATTGAACTGACGCCTTCGTTGTTGCGCCAATGGCGTATGGGTCTCCACCTTCATCTAGTAATGGAACGAGGAATCGTTCCGTGTATCTCACCTTTTTTCGTTCCCTTATCAAACACTGCACTGTACAGTAAGTAATAAGAAGCCTTCTCCCTCTCCGATGAAAGAACCTCTGTGACAGTACAAAGTTCAGTGAAACTTTGTTTACTCTCAGCCAACGCACAGATGACATATGGACCGCCAGGCTCGTCTAGTTCGAGTAAACTGTATTTGTAAAGGCAATGTAAAGGACGGTCGTTTTTCCTACTTCAGAAGTGCTGACAATTTCCACTGCACAGTTCAGTTCACCTCTCCATGTTGTGAAGTCTCCTACTAGCACCATGTTGACGACCACAGCGAGTTTCTCACAAGTTTGGCTCGTGATCCCTCCAACGTCACCCTTTTTCGTTGATGCGTCGTAGTGAATTCAGAAAGGCGCGTTTTGGTGGAGGAAATTGTCAGCTGAACTAGTGAGTTTCCATGTGAATCATTCGTTACAATCGTCTGACACAAGAACGCCAGCATCTGCAAGGTTTTGCCCCCAGAGGGCGCTGCGAACACGTTGTCTTGATTTGGGCAAGGACTCGCATACACCCTATAACGCGCCTTCAAATCAGAAGTCGGCCTTCGCAAATTAGCTATAAACGATGGCTACGTGTAACCTACCGAATCGGCCCGGCCGATGGCACAGGATTGGGTTGCTGTGACGCAAGATAGATGGTTGTCCCCTGTTCAAGGTTTCTTAACAACAGTTGAGTCTAAGCTCCTTACTTGCCTATATTCTCATACCGCTCAGCTTTCTCGTCGTTTGTCTGCCGAACTTGCCCCTGGCATTTTGAGCGAGTTGCACACGTGCTCAGGCGTCGAATGCTTTCTCGAATCTCTGCTCGTCACTACCTCCACGTCGTGGTGACTGAAATGATCCACCTAGCTCCCTGCTCGTCATTTTGCTTAAAAATATTTCTTGTCCGAACGAAACGGCTGTACCCTAGCGGAGGCGTACAACAACCTCCTACCCCCTCAGGCTCCGGCTTCCCCTGGACTGTATGGGCCTCCATCCAAACCGGCCCGAATCTCGAAATAACGCGTAGTTACTTTGTCAATACGCTGAGTGATGCCCCGAGCATCTTCGAGGGAAAAGCTTGGCGCAACGCCTACAAAAACGATTGTCTTGTTCCTCGTCATGATATCAGCTTGAAGAAATTGAAGAAATTTTGGGAGTTTAGCTTTGCGGTGTCTTCGCTTCGGGATTCTGTCTCGAGCACGGGGACGGGGGATGGGGGACGGCAGCATACAGATATCAGTGACCAGTTTGGATTAGGAGGGAAAACAGGGTTAGGTGAATGTGCGCACGAGGGATTTTATCTACAAAGGTGTGTCGGAACTTCGTCGATTATCCACTGGGTGCTCACTGACATCGTTCCCCTCAGTTTTTTCGTCGTTCGTCCCGCCCAACGATTTTAACCCCGCATATATAGGCCTCCTTGAAAGCACAAGGAAAACGACGCTAAAAGCGCAGAATGGCGTTCGAAGTTGTTGAAGTTCCGTGTTCTGGCAACAATGTACTTCGTTGTCGATGATTGCCCATGCTAGCAATCAACCGAGGGATCTTTACCAAGCTGTCGTGTTGCTCAGCTTTCCGTCCGTTGAAACGTTGAAGTGCGGTGCGGTCAGTGGATAGAAACGGTTCCAGTAAGTTGCCAGTAACCTTCGTGAATATACGTCTAACTCCTTTCGTTGGATGCGCCCAGGATGCGCCCAGTCAGAGCTTCGGAAAACCGACGTATTGTATTTTGCAAATTGGTCGCAGTCTTTCCTGTTGTGAGGCATCGTTATTTTCATGATCCCATTGTTAATGGTTTGTGCTGTTTAACAGGTGAGCACTCATGGTTTGGCTGACGCTTCCCTTTCTAAAGCACCATTACCAGAGGGTCGTTCACTCACCCATACCAACTCCGGAACTAATCAGCTGCCCCGTGCTCCGCGGCGATGCTGTCGTTTGGTCCGCACTCCGCCGCTCCACCAAACGGGTCGCCCTAACAACAATAATCCGACGGTAATGTGTCGGATACTCCATGTGCCGTGTCGAATGTTGGACCGCCAAANAGCGTCACAACTTACGATCGCCGACGGGATGACTACGATCGAGGATCCGAAGTCCTGCCCCATCGTATCAAATGCTGGAAGCAGAACGGGACATCTGTGCACCACCGGAGTTTCTTGTGTTTGGCACGACATGAGCGCTCCGTCGCGACCACGAGTTAATTGGTTGGCTTTGTGCAGGATCCGAGATGAACGAACCTGTTCCCGACGCGGCGCGGCGCCCTTTTCCGAATCCAGCCCTCCTGTCTTTACTGGCTCCAAGTCCCAAACAACAGGAAGAAACCGCCGTCGCCCATCTCGAAACCTCAGCCCTGGGCAACTAAGCAAAAGAAGAAGAAGAGCTTCAAGACCCTTCAGGATGCCAATTCGGAATATGGTATGACAACAGGAACAACGATCTGAGCGACTTGTCCGATCTGGAGCTTTCGCCACCAGCGGGGAGGTGCATGAGAAAGTGGGGTCGTTCTGTATCACCGCCACCAACTGTGACCGTCGAGGAGCCTGTGAGGACAAAACGAAGATTGGTATACACGCACGTTCCTATGCTCCGATATTCCCCCGCTGTTTTTCACCCCACTTTCTTTTTTGAAATGTAGAGAGCCCCAGGAGTTCAGAATCCGGCTGTCGTTACGGCGCCTGCCCTCCCGTCCCCACAGGAAGAAGTTTCTGTTTCAGTTGTTCAGAAGTCCCCAGCTGTTCAGAAGGCCGCTGATGGGCCTGCCAAGACTTGTCAGAAAAAGCGCAAGTACCTAGTTGATTCTCGTCATCAATCCACTGTTGGTCGGCCTTCTTGCGTTGCTTCGGACTGTGTTTTCCTAATCCGACTGGCTTTTTCGTCTTTGGCCCCGTATGTTCTGGCATCTCTTTTGGATTCGCTCTTAGGCAATTGCAACTATCTCCTCCTTGGCTAATTATGGACGTTTGTCGCCGTGGAGATTGTACATAACTCTATCCCATTGCCCAAGTCATCCGTACATCTGATGAAGAGACTTCTGTGATGATGAATGGTTGGACTGGGAAACGGCTGCTAGCGAACGGAAAAACGAATGGTGCTTTCCTGCTGCTCTGGCCTGGCTTGAGAGTCGGCGGCAATGCGTCAGACTTTTACACAAGCCAGTACAGAGAGCACTGTATTTGAACAGATGGGAACCAAATGAGAACACAAAATTTTTATGAAGCGATACCGGGTGACTTGCGTAATAGGCTGGGATACTCGGCGCCGGCCCTTCGCATCTGTATACGGCATTTGTGTCTAGAAAGCCCAACAGTACATACTCTTCACAAAGATTCCCTTAAAAATGGGACTGTATTTTCAAGCTGAATTTATAATCCAAGGAATTCAAAGACACCCAGAGTCCCTCCTCGCTGTAAGAAAGTAAAATTGAGGACAACTCGAGAAAATTTAAAAGTTGAAGCGGAAGCAAATTCACGATGGTAGCGCGTCATATAAACGATCAAACGCCACGAATAGGGTCAACTTTGGCATTTTATTTATAGATGGGGACTCGCAATTATCTGACTGTTTACTTATTAGCACCAGTTCAACGGAGTACGAAAACCCAGATGGGTCAATTCATTCAAAGAATCTAGGCCCCCTTTGACAAAAAAAAAGAAAATCGGAACGATGTGCACGTGCATAAGTGAGTATCTCCGATTCTCCTTGGAGTGAATTGTTCGTTAACGTATGGAAGTAATGAGTAAACGACTAGGTCCTGCGAGAGTGGGGGTATGAATAGTACATGGTTTTCCCACCGCGACGTCAGGTACATACCGTGATTTAACAGCTTGCGGTATAACGTTGTGGACACCCCAGATTTTTTGTTGGAACTTGGCCGGGTGCCGGGTGAGTGGGATGGAGTGGGATATAGTTGGGATGTCTTGTGAGTGGTTTGTGTTGCAGTAGTGATGAACTTGCGAGCCGATTCACTTAATTCATGATGGCCTGCGAGTTGATGTTGATTTTCGTATAGTAACTCTCAACTCAATGATTTTTTTATATCTTTTTCTTTTTTTCTTCACTCAGCTCTGTCCCACAACGGAGATAATATACCTTAAGCATCGGCAGGAGTAGTCGCCGACATCGTGTTTGTGATTGAGGTTCGGCATGGAAATTATTATTAACCGAAAAATTTCCAACGCCTTTCATTGAACGTTGATTGATACCTTCCCGTAAGGATCTGAAGACGTCTGAAGTTTTCAAACGTCTTCAGATCATGCCAAGTCGTCGTCAGCCGAGATGCCGAGCCTCCATCAACATCAATTTCAAATAGTTTGGTGTCTTCAGATTTCTTCAGACTGTAAAATCTACAGAGGCCTCCCGACCCCTCTGCAGACTGAAATTTTGTCTTCAAACGTCTTCAGATGGTCCGATCTGAGATGCCATTATCCCGAGCTACCTTGTCCCGTCCCGCCCCTGCTTATGTCATCTATCCCCCTCCCCTCCCGCCTCGCTTCCGCCTATCTACATCCCGCTATACCAACCTGAAGCTTCATAATTGCTATAATTCTTCATGCAATCTTTAAAATGATGCTGACAGGCCTGTATGTGCTAATAAATCCTAGGAATAGCCCTATTTTTGATTCTAAGCTTTGTTGTTAAATACTCCACTGTTGTAACTTGGCCAACGGATTACACAGGTGTAAGGGCTAATCTAATGACATAGTTTTGCGGCCAGGGGAGGTAAATAAACTACGAAATGGGTGAAGGAATGGCAGGGACTCTCAATACCAGTTGATGAAATCTGAAGTTTCTAGATTCTGAAGTTAGGCTTACGGGCTGAAGATTTGATGGTGGCGTCGTCTTCAGATTCGGACTTTAAAATCTGAAGACGTCTGAAGATTTCAGATGTCTTCAGATTCTTACGGGGAGGTATCCAATCAACGTTCAACGAAAGGCGTTGGAAATTTTTCGGTTAATAATAATTTCCATGCCGAACCTCAATCACAAACACGATGTCGTGTCTTGACTCTTGCGTGCAGCTCCTTGGCCAGATGGCGGATATCTTCTAAGTTCTGGGTTGCCTTTTGCCTGCCCTTGTGGGTCATTGCTTGAATTAGATCATGGTGATGTATATAGAGAGCGATCAGAGTCCTAGTTTTTCGAGATCCAGGCACGTAGGTCGGGTCATCGGCCCTCTGGCTAGAGGGAGGCACGGGAAACATTGCCCAATATTATTATTAGTATTACCAATTGGGATATCTTGAGAAAGTGCGATACTTTTTCTTTTCAGGCGCATTCTGATTATATTCTCAAAGTTTTTCATGTGGGGCAAGTCATGGGATTCTTTCAAATCCGGCCCAAGGAGTTTGCTACGAAAGCCGAAATATTCCAAGCACTTTCATGTTTGTGATATTCTAGTAAAGGTTGCGCCATTGAGTAAAATTAACAGGAAAATGGTATCCTTTGTTTTCGGAGGCGATACAAAATTGATAAATGTTGATAAAAAGGGCGGGAAAGGATGGAATTTCTGAGAGAGGACTAATTATTCAAATGACTTTCTTCTTTGTGGGAAGGCAAAAAAATATTGACAAGAAAGATCACAATGTTCCAGCCAGTGTCGCAATTGCTCTGGCTATCCCGCTCTGAGATATTGTGGTGCAATGTTTCTCGTGAGGAAGGTGAAGACCCGAGAAGGGCGATCATATGATGCGCTCTCGCCAAGTCATGGTG